TCGTGTGTACGTGTGCTGTATGCTCGTGTGTATGTGTGCTGTATGCTCGTGTGTACGTGTGCTGTATGCTCGTGTGTGTACGTGTGCTGTATGCTCGTGTGTGTACGTGTGCTGTATGCTCGTGTGTATGTGTGCTGTATGCTCGTGTGTATGTGTGCTGTATGCTCGTGTGTACGTGTGCTGTATGCTCGTGTGTACGTGTGCTGTATGCTCGTGTGTACGTGTGCTGTATGCTCGTGTGTACGCGTTCTGTATGCTCGTGTGTACGCGTGCTGTATGCTCGTGTGTACGCGTGCTGTATGCTCGTGTGTATGCGTGCTGTATGCTCGTGTGTACGTGTGCTGTATGCTCGTGTGTACGTGTGCTGTATGCTCGTGTGTACGTGTGCTGTATGCTCGTGTGTACGTGTGCTGTATGCTCGTGTGTACGTGTGCTGTATGCTCGTGTGTACGTGTGCTGTATGCTCATGTGTACGTGTGCTGTATGCTCGTGTGTATGTGTGCTGTATGCTCGTGTGTACGCGTATACTGAATGATTATGTGGTGTGTGGGCGTGTTGCTGATTTAATTCACTTATCATAGGAACAATCGGATAGCTGATTCACATTCTAGCTGTGGACCTGTATAAGTACATGTATAATCGATAGTAACAACAATGATGGTATTTGCATTTCAGGTGAGTTTTTGGATAGTGAAGGAGATACTAGGAGCTCAGTCATTCAAGCTCATGGCTGATGTGCTAACACATTTCATAAAACTTGCCAAAGTAAGTTTTACTACTTGCTACTGTTGCTACCTAAGCAAAGTGATAGTGGTAACTATAGTAATTAATAGTATTTATGTGTGCAACAAAGTAATGGAAAACAGGGAGAAGATGAGGGATATGAAAATAATGCTGTGGGGTACAACTGTGAAACGTAATCGTGTTTAGGTCATTATAATAAACAAAAAAGTGCCCCCCCCCCACCAAATCGGCTATACTTAGATCTGGAAAGTTCTGGAAAATAGGGACAATAACCATGATCGTTCTTGAAATTGAACACGACTTTCATGTCTGAAATGCAATAAAATCTGCTTCGGGCAGGAGATTGTTCGCTAATCAGTGATTGTACAGGGTATGTAGAGTGTATTCAGTTTAAATCTTGGCAGTCATGGTAAATGGACTTTCAAAAAACCTTTCAAAATGTATTGCTTCAAATAATATTGGTATTATAATATATATATTATTCTTACTGGTACATTCAACCCGGTTCTTATTAGCAGTATATAGTAGATAAATTTATCCACTTTGTGGTACGAACTCTATTATCATGTAAAGCAAACGATATATGCTAAGAAAATGTTGTGTTAAGGGTACGAACCCTATTATTATACTCGTATAAAACAAGCGCCTTATTCCAGTTTTTTCATACTCTTTGCAGAAGCTACACGAGCTCAATAACCTCCACGCTGAATTCGCTGTGATATCCGCATTGCAAAGCGCACCAATATTCAGATTGTCGAAAACGTGGGCGGTAAGTTTTAACCAACCCCCCAGAGCTCCCACCACCCAGGTGTCCCCCCCTCCCCAGATATCGCATCTCGCATCTCGTATCTCGCAGATACCTCCCAGCACCACCACCAGATATCCCAACGCACTAGAGATGGTAGCACCATGCATTTGATGTGTTGATGGTGGGCTGTGCTCATGCTTAAAGTGTGTACCGCGAGAATTTTCTAGTGTTTTCCCCACTTTCATGATACCTACCGTTATTGCTTGAGTAACAGCAATTGTCTAGAGTAACGATAAAATGTCTTAGAACCTTCGTATTTACCAAATCCAATGAAATCATGCACGATTACAATTTTGTGTTCTGTTTCTGTTTACCGTTGCCATCTCTCGAATTTTCTTCTGCTATATTTCGTTTTTCTGAGCCAAAAAACTCGCGGTACACACTTTAAGACAGGTTAACTGATTGGTGGATATGGAAGTGGCATGGATGAAGTGATGTTGTCGGTAACACTTAGTTCTAACAAACTAAGAGAGAAAGAAACCATTACATCTGAAGCAGTCCTTTCAGCAAATTTTTTTGTAGTAGAGTAAAAAAGAGAGGGGTGAAGGAGTGAGGGAGGGGTACATCTAGAGCCCACAGTCAGAGAGAGAGAGAGAGAAAGAGAGCGAGAGAGAGAGAGAGAGAGAGAGAGAGAGAGAGAGAGAGAGAGAGAGAGAGAG